TAGCAAAGCAATCAGCCCTGCTCAGGTGAATTGGGATGCAGAATTGTATTGGTCCATGGTCTACATCCAACTCTCACATATGACTGCAAATTGCATGGGCACTGCAATGGCCACACCCCAGTCAATGACATCTCCTTGCCGGCTAAACTGTGAAAGGAAACACCTCTCCCCAACCCACCTGTTCCAACAAGTCATCAGCCAGTTGCCAGTATGTGCATAGGAGCTGCACCTCAGAGGTCAACGGCTTTACCAGTGACAGTAGGAACTTCTGAGGGAGGAATGAGGTAACCTCAACATCCCCAGTGTAAAAAGAACTAACAAGCCATTGCACTATTTTGCCTTGAATATCAAAATGAACCACATTTACAACACTCTGGGTTGATCACAAAATACACAAACAGAAAAAAATTAAGGCTTTTCAATGCACTAACAGATATCTCAAGACACTAAACACTTTCCATGACTCAATGAGTGTTACTACCCTGTTACACTTAGAAGATAACATCAATACTTCTCCCATTGGATATCAATATAAAAAGTTTGTTTAAGGCTGTGAGGAAAAGCATAGAGAAATTAGGCTGAGGTCATTGACCATGAAAATTTGTTCTTGTGTCTTGTTTATGGTAGTTGAGTTTCACTCGGAATTGAACTTGTTTGAATTCAAAGTCTGTTGGAATTAAGTGAATCCCGAGAAGGAACACATCCTCTTTTTTTTTGCTTACTCTACTTATGGATGATGGCTTCTATGAAATATGAGAGAAGCTAGGTGGATTCCTTTGCACAACTTTTGTTGTGTAATGGAATGTCAAGATTTTTGCAAAACATGGACATCCCAACTTTTATAAAACTGTGGAAAGGAACACCAAACAGCTAAAGATTTTTGAGGAACTCAATTTTGGTTCTGAACAAGCTTAGAAGTATCTAGAACTGCACTTACCAACTTGTACAGCTGAACCTCTCCAGAAATGTTTTAACAGTTTTGAATTTATTTCATTAGTTACATCATTCACTGATAGAGTCACTGGAAGTTTCTGTAATTTGGTACCAATTCTTTTCCTGAAAATGTTTTTTAAGGCTGCTCAAAATCTCAAAGTGTCTGGAGGAGGGGAATAGTTTTATTTAGTCCTTTAAATTCTTTCATTTGGTTTGAAAAGAAGCTATTTTAATCAAAATTTGACCTCCAGTGACACTGAAAGCAGCACCACAAGGTCATCTTTTTCTAGTCAATATATTTTGGCTGCAATTCAAATCCTAACACCCATAAACTAATTCTACTTCAAATGACCACCTGTGTCTTCAAAGATTGAATCTGATCTTATCTACCTTACCATTTGTGTGATCAACAAACATATTTGTGCTTCATAGCAAACTCAATATCTCACGCCATTTTGCTAGAAATTGCTTTTCATGTATTCACTTTAATAATGTTGAATGACTCTCCCAAAATCAATAAATATATGACCACCAATATTAGTACATGCATGCCTGCACAAAATTAAATGGATATCTTACAACCATTCTTGCTTTTTTAGCTTGAAACTAGACTAACATTTTTTGCATTATATTAAGGAAGATTTTTATCAATATTTCTCAGACTGAAAATTAAATATACATTTTTTTTTTTAAATTATGTGACTTGGTTAATCTACTGCAAATGTCAATCCACTAAAAGATTAAAAGTATAGGTGCTTAAAAATTAGAGCTTTGTTTTATATCTAAGAGATATAAAACAAATAAATAAGTTGAAAAAAATCTGTTTATCACACAAACACATGTACCACATAACCTTTCCATATGTTACCACCATTTCCACTTTCATTTTCTTCATTACTCATGTCCTGCTATTTATCTTTCTTCATCTTTGAGTATCTTCATGTTTACAAGACAGTGTTTGATTTTCTTTGTGTTGCCAGCTGCAAGATGCTACTGGCTTCAGGAAACTTGAGACACTCATCTTTAAAAACTACAATGCATTTTTTGAGTCAGACTATCTTGAAAGCGGGAATGGCATTCTGAAATATGGCATAACATTCTGAAATATGGCATATGGTTAAAAGAAAGTTAAAAATCATTGTTTTAGGACATCAGGAATTCTTGATCTAGAAGCCTTGTTGGCAGATAAACTGATGACTTTTTCTTTTTAAACCATTTATCTCAACCTTATCTTTTTTTCCCGAAAACTCAGTAGAGTTTTTTCTGCCAGCTCTCATCAATATTACTGGGAAGATAATATTATGACATTCTTCACTCAAAAAATGTTTTGAATAGCAATAAAGTCTAAATAATTTATGTGAGGCTTTCTGGAGATTAAGATAGTTATTTAACCTACCCCAGTTTTATAAGGAAGCACTTTTCTGGATTCAGCTTTTTTGAGTTTTATCCTAACTCATTAAAAGAACTTTCTTGAACAATGCAGATAACTGGCATTTCAGTCCAAATCCACCAACATGAGAGAGTGTTCATGGCCTGTAATACTGAATCATACTAGTTAACTGACATTTTACTTTGTGCTTGCTTTTTGTTTTTTTAATAATTTCATCCCAAGCAAGAGATGCAAGCGGATTACTGAGTGTTAGAGAATAAAAAAAAAAAAAAAAAACACTATTAAGGAGAGAGAATAATAAAAGAACAAGAATTAAGATAGAGATGATAACGATTGACATTGATCTTCAAAAATTTAAATGCAAAGTTGACTGGGAAACAAAACCAGAAGAGAATTTCCCAAGCAAGAAGTTTGAGAGAAAAAACTGTTAGCATAGAAATTGCAGTTACATCTAGCAGCCATATCAACTGTAAAATGATGAGACCTTGCCATCAATTTAGTACTGTACTTAAATTTCTAAAGTCTAGGTACCATAGAGGTAAGTTCATCAGAATAATTACCAGGAAAGTATTTATAGAAAAGGTACATGGAAGATACATTGCAACAATGGGAAAGTGACTTTTGGTTCAAATTCAATCTGTGCCTACCACATTTTATAATTTCAACTCTTTGCAGTTCTGATTACTATATGGAATCGGTTATGTTACAGAGACATGAATGGTACCGGAGACATTAAGAAAGTAGATATGTGCAAAGAGAATAAGTGATAAAAAAAATATTGTTTAGAAAAAAATAAATAGAAAAAACAATAAAAGACAATAAATTCTAATCAAACTCCAAACATTATATTTTTTGCTTTGTTTTTATTTTAAATATTTTTTCTTGCCTGTTGATTTTGTTAGCAGGAAGGAAAAAAAATGTTAATTACATACATAAGTATAATTATTTCATGGCAATATGATCCACTTCTCAATGTATAGATATATAATATATGGTCAAGTGCAAAAGTAAATAAATAGCTCCAGAAGCACAAAACTGAATCCTGAATCAAATAATACATAACCACAAAGATTTAGAAGTGTTGGTTAACATTAATCATTGACAAGCTTAATGAGGATTCTGATTCATTGGAATTTTTGTTACATATAGTAATAATTCAAGAATATAATCCAGGTAGCTGATGGGTTGATGAAATATTCTTCAAAACTCATTAACTGAAATAAAATAAATTTAAAAATAGTGGTTTGTAATCTTGCAGTGTAGTTAAGGGTTCAAATCTCACTGGAAGCTAAATTTTTGGTACAGGATCATATATTCTCTATATAACCATACATTAAAAATACATCAATAGAAGACCAAGATAGGTAACTCTTAACACTGAACACTTATTTTGGAAACATCTTTATAAGATTTATGAGATCACTATATTTCCCATGTTATATAAAAAATCCTTATTCAAATAGACACTGACAAGAGCTGAAAACTACATTTTTTTTTAATGACCTGCAATCTTTGCTCATAAATCTATCTTGAATTTCTATAATGTAATTCTTTTTTTTAATACTTTGTACAATTTTTAAAAAATTAATTATAAATGCTAGAAGTTTTCATAAAAAGTTGTTTTATAATATTAGATATTAAAGACAAAATTAAAACTCAAAATATCATTTTGTTTTAAATTGCTATATTTACATTTTTGTGATACGTCAAAAATAGTTTTAGTGAAATGTTGTAATTCTGGCAATAGCTACATCATGAAGTGATCAAATGATAAAACCAACAGGAAATGTTACTAGATTAATGTATTACAAAAGAATAAACAGCAAATTAAAGATATTCTTTGTTGTAATGTAGACATTGATGCCCTTTTGTATTAGTCAAAGATAAGATTCAGTATTCTATTCAAACCATTATCTTCTATTACTATTAAATTTTTTTAATGATTTCATTAAAATTTTACCAACTATCTTCAGGTGATATGAAATATAGTGACTAATGTGGGGAAGTTCATTCTGGAATACTAATTTGATTTTTTGGACCAAGTAGCAGCAGAGTTACTTCCCTTGAATTAGTTCACTATTTCTCTTAACTAGAAGTTGATAAAAGAATATTCAAATTGGTAAATTCTTAACTAATTATAAGCTTCTGGACAAAGTGTTTATGACCGTACCAAAATTTCATAATCAAATGATTACTTTTTAATAATCTTTGTTATAAAGTTTAGAAATTAAATGATAAATTTACATTTTTCTAAAAGGGAGAAAAAAAAAAAAACTGAAGATATTAGTCCAAATAAATTTAGGAACATATTTTCTCTTGCTTCCATTCATCTAAGCAAATACCAAATTTCTTGCAATACATTAGAATTATTGGTGATCAATATAAACAATGACTTTACATATGAAAAATGTACAAGAAGGCGCTGAAAAATTCTTGTCATATCTGTGTATAAAAAAAAAAACGAAAAAAAAAAAAAATAACATCAGAATACTGATTTGGGGAAATGAGTTGGGCTGAGGACGTTTCAGCACCCTCTCATATGTCCATCAGTATATAAAATTTTAAGTAAATGATAATGCAATCTGTACATGAGAGAGGCAGTCCTTAGGACTGAAATGATTGTAGCATTTATTAATTTTCTATATCCCAAAGATATTGCCTGTGTGTGTTGTGTTGTTCATGGTAGTGGCTCACTGGGCATGTTCTTCTTGGTGAGCAGAGAAAGATCCACTCTGTTTGGAGTAAGGTGACCAAAAGACTCTTTGATTATGTACTGTGCAAAAGCTCGCCGACCTTAAAAGAGAGAGAAAGAAAGATAAAAATTCTGATTGAAATTCTTTCTGATAAAAACAATCTTGATCTGTAGAGCAGATTTTTCTTTCTACTTATCTCTAAGCAAGTCCATATCACACATAATATCCATTGTAAATATAATCAAATCTAACACAAGTAATAAATATACTTACATAAAGAAAAGACATACAGAGACCACTCCAAAAAGAGAAATTACAGTATTTTTCAGTTACTTACCTTCAATGAGATCCAAATAAATTTTCAAACTATACATCTGGGCTGGAAAAGGTTGGCTAGTAAGTTTGCTACTCTGAAAGTTAAGATAATATAAATATATAATCATATATCTAATGGAAACTTACATATATGCACAACATCTATGAGGGACTACTGAAAAGTTTTCACCCCTCAATCCATTTTGATCAAATGACCAAACATCAGAATTTTTGGGGGAAGGGCTTCTTAGTTTCAATATCCCTCATATATACCTGCAGAAATGTAACTTATTTGAGATGTCTGGATTAAATCAAAATCAAACTTACAAATTGAAGGCTTTCAATTTATCTATATCAAAACAATCAAATTACATAAAAGAATATATAACAAGCAAGCTTAACCTACTTTAATTTAAGCCTTTTCCTTATAACATAAAATTTCTTTATAATTAATGAATTGTATAAGTTAGGAATAAGGCTAGGCAGGTTAATATTAGCTTTATGACAAACGTTCAGTTTTACCATTAAAAAAGTTCAGAGCCATTAAAAAGTAAAACTATTTACTATATCATTAACAAATATTTCTGAGGGGAATGGAGATAACAAAACAGATATAACTTTGCTATTTTAAAAAAAATTAGAAAAATTAAAAATTAATATTAAAAAAAGTATTTAACTAGTACAGCCACTAAAAAAATATTTTGAAAGACATACACTATTATCAGTTGAAATACCAAAACATCACCAGATTCCATAATTATTTCAGTGTGCTATTTATTCATTTAAATGTTAAACTTCATATAAAAATAAAAAATAGAAAGAATAAAATAATAAAAGAATTTTGGTTAAAAAGATTTTCTGGGATGAGGAATTATCATTATTTGCATCTTTGTTATTGTTATCACATTTCAGTCATTATGCCTTCTGGCCTTCATCAGGTGTATGTCAATCCAAGTAACCTACAGAAAATTCCAAACCAAGCCTTTTATTTAATCTATGGAAGTAGACTGTTCTTGTTCCACTGCCCATGTCCAGAGATATCTTGTTTAGTTCTTATTTTTAGTAATGCTCAGTTATTACTTGCACTGTTTCTACTGAGTCCAAGTAAACACTGTCCAATCAAGGGATTGAACTCACATTACTAGGTCACCAAATTCACAAACCAATACTTTAATCCACTAGGCTATTGTGCCATGGGAGAATTCTCTATGGAGAACTTGGAGCCTCAAACCTAATCTGCCTAATGATGAGTGCTGCTGCTGTTTGTGACACTGTAAGAATGCTAATAATTTGAAGAAAGGAAAAAAAGGCTTAAATTAAATCAAAAGTGAACACAAAAACAAAGTAGTAGATAGATTGAAGAACATACTGAAAACAAAAGAAAATATGCTTTTATTTTGTCTTTCATTTTGTGAATAAGGACCTCACTAGAAGATAGCACCGAAATTCACTTAAACATCTGGTTAAAGTGAAGACCAAAGGACAATGTGAGGGGAGTGCAATTTTGGTCTGAGACCACCAAGCTAGTCACAGATAATAATTTTATGGCTACAAGTAGGTGAAGAGAAAGGTAGACAAATGATTTTATGTCGCCTGTTGATAGGGGTGGAAACTGCACGTGTCACTAAAGGAACAAGATTTTCTCAGGCCGGAAAATTTCGATCAAGTGAGAAAAAGAGGAGGAGTTACAAACCAAACATGATAATTGGGAATAGAGAAAAGCAGATAATTTTACGATGAAATTAAAAGTAACATCTGTTTTGTGTCAGGCATTCAAGGGTCAGGTGGAATACCTATTTCCTGGATGGCAGCAGCATGAGCAGCTGATATGAGGAAGTGGGAGGAAAATAATATACCCACTAAAAGGTACTGGTGTGAGTTGCATGCAAGAGAAGGGGGAGATCAAAATGGTGGATGGACGTGCTGCCACCATCACCCTCCCCCTCGCAGAAGGGCCATCCAGCACCAGCACCCATGGAGGGATTTGATTGCGTGACTTTTGAAGGCATCCCAGAACAAGCTAGACCCAACCTGGTTTTTGGAGGTTGGACTCCATAAACAACCATGCAGAGATCCCAGGAGCGAGAAGAGAGACAGACAGAGAAAGTAGCAGTTGAGACAGAGATGATTGCTTTGCTGACCCTCATGTGATTTGCTGCCATGAGGAAGTCCTGACTTATGCCTTGTTCCAGACTATTAGATAAATTCAGCAGTGTCCTGATGAAATTGCAAAGTGGAATAATTGAAAGTCTTTATATAATGAGAGAGAGGGGGAGAAGAGTGCTTCGTCAGCATTCCATAATTTGCTGCCTGAAGAAATCTCTGACTTAAAGTTTGAAACCTTGACTCCAACCTGGAAACAAAGAACAAAGTGTCACAAAATTAGACTATGAGGGAATGGTCGTTAGCCTGCATGCTTGTAGATTCTTATATAAAAATAATGTTTCTGTATAAACCCGAGTTACATAAACCTTGTTGATTTGCACAACTTTCTTTTTCTTGTCTTATAACATCGTCCTGCCTGAACAACAACAATCCAGCGATATCTGGCAATGATTCAATCTTTGCCTGCTTTGTGATCAAAACAAACACAATGTGGGACAGAGAGAGGCTTGGATTGAAGTGACCAACTTCAGTTAGCCACAAGATTCAATCACAGTCTCACTGGTGACCAAGGATGGGATAGTGTTGTCATGTTGTGCAGAGGCCAGGACACCCTGCAGTGTTATATGTTGAAGACTTACTGTCATTTGTCTTTCTTTATTAACTACTTACATATCAAGGTTAAACAAGCCACCCACTAAAAGTAAGGCTGGAGGAAACATGATAACAACAAAGATGAGCACAATAAAATTAAATGCAAATAAAAAGGTTTTAATATAAATATTTTTCATTTAACATAAGGTTAATATATAATTTAACAAATAAAACTAAAATATTGCCAAAAAATACTTTATTTTGCAGTAGTCTCTACTGTAGGGTATATGTACAACTTGAGAATTTAGTAAATTAAATAGAATTTATTTCTCCAGAGAATTTTCAAAGTGTCAAAAATAAATAAATAAAAGCTGTAATTACCAATAAAAATATAAGCACATAATTATTGCAGTGCAATTTTAAAAAAAAAAAAAAGCTGCAGTCAATTCTATTTTTTTTTTCTCGATTAAATACTCACTGGGCAGAATATAATCTTGATTTTGGCAATCAAGCAAGGTGCCACGGTTTCAATGTAATTAGATTTAGAGTGAACATATAAATAAAAAAGAGGAAATAAAGAAAAGAAAAAAAAACCTGTATGCAAGTAATTTATTTACCTCCCCAAGATTTTTCAGTGCTTCAGCATATTCTTGCCTTATAGCCAAAGTTGCAGCCAAGTTATATAATAGTACAGCCTGGGCTTTTTGTGGGGTCGCAGGAGTCCAGGGAACTAAGGCACCTGAATTAAAAAGAAAAGATAATGTGAGAAATTAAACAACTGAAGCATATTTGTCATAATTTTCTAAATTCCAGTAAATATTTAGAATCACTAACAGACATTTAATTTCAAACAATCCAGTGGTTTGGTGAAAGTTCAAAAAATTTGGTCAAAGATATATAATATTTGTATAATTAATTGATCTATTATAATCTGATATCTAAACTATAAATTTTAGTGCACACATTCATGCTAAAAACGAATAAATCTTTTTCTTTATTTCCCTGAAACATATTACACCATTCTTTAAACTTAAAATTATTTCTGAGACTTAAACACTATAATCAAATGCTGTCAGTGTTGGAGGCAAAAAGTTTATTCAATTTTAATTTATCTATCAAAATTTAGCAACCATAAAAATAGTAAAAAATAAAAGTCATTGAAAAAAAAAAAAAAAAAAAAAATGATTTCAATGGTTTACAAAAATGTTAAATGGGGACAAAAGGAAAGAAAAAAATGATAACCTTTTGCTTCTGTGGCTTCTACTGGATCACGATCATTTTTATCCATCTTTTCATTCTTGTCATTTTTGTCTGAAAATAATTAAAAAAAGAATTGTTTATATCAGCAATGCACAGACACATATGCACAAAAAAATATAATAAATAGAAAAAGTCAAGTGGTTCACATAAAATAGATACATTTAATTTCTACTAATGATAATGAGTGTTGCAAATCATCCAGAGTAAAACCAAAATCAAAAATAGAACTCAATTCATATTGAATAAATTAAAAACTAATGTACTACAAAATCACATGATGATTAAAATTAGTGCGAAAACTATACTAGAAACCATGTAAGATGAACCATGTAATTTTTACTAACAAAAATTTAATTTGGTACCTTGTTCAGTTTTCTGTTCAGGTGGACAAACACTGACATCAACACTGTATTCTGGGTTCAGGTGGTGGATAGCATCAGTAGTTCTATTCAAATGTACAAAGGCTTCAGCAGCATATAGGTGAGCCAAATACCTAAAAATATGAAAATTATCAAGTTTTATATACACACACACACACACACACACACACAAGGGTACATTAACAGGTTCATAGCCCAACACAGTTATTGAATTTTTATCTGAAATTTTCACTGTATAATGTTTGACCCATGTGTTTAATATTTATCATTGAATTTGGTACATTGATAAGGAAGGGAATCATTTTGAAAATGATCTTTTACATAGAATAATTACTTTTACCTCAGTAGGCTGCAAACTTATTGATGTAACTTAACTATACTGGTCAAAAAAAAAAAAAAGAAGAAAAAAAAGGAAAATATCTTAATAATCAGATAGTTATCTTAAAGTCAAGAAATAATATGATTTTCATAGGAGGAGGTAATTTTTAAAATTAAATTTCATGCAAAGAATAATTGGAGCTATCACATATTTGTTTCAATTACAAGGTAGAAATTGCAAGATTTATGTATTAATTAATTACTTTTAACCCCAGCCACCACTAGTGATAAAAAAAACAAGAAATATATAAAAAAATCTAAAATAAAAAATTTCTCATGTATACTTTCTTTTATAATATCATTTGATTGAAGGTGTTATGCATCACAGTATAACATGTAGTCTGAAATATACTTCTGCCAATTAAATACAACATGCTTTACAAAATAACAAATTGATAAAATTATGTGTAACAACAGGTTAAAGGTTGCAGTTATACTCATAAAACAATTCCACTATACACAATTCTCATATTCTTAATTTTATTCTCTAAACATTTTATGCCGCTTAAAGCAGCAATGAGATTTGTTTTTCAGGAGACCAATAAGCCACAGTGAAGAACATTTACTACTTTTGGTTCTTGTTTAATATATATTGACATTGATTCTTTCTTTTGAAAAAAAAAAAAAATTCTTTTTTTTTATAGCTTATCAACCTTTTGTAGGTTATTTAAAACCAGAAAATAATTTTAGATTGTGAGAATGTTTTTGAGATAATAATAATTTATCGATACAAGCCTTAGCTGGAAGGAAGAAGGGCTAAATTCCCAAGGGTATTTGTGCATAAGTGAATATAACCATCTGACTGGAATTGGAACTGAAGCTCTCAGATTTCCAGTTCTGAGCCATTATCCATTACATACCCAAGATGTTGCGCCTGGTATTACCAAGTGGTCACCTAAGTACTGAACAGGTTTGACATTGATTAACTTCAGTTATTGTATGAGAACCAGTGTTTCAACATGATATAACCATAAGCCTAAAAAACAAATTATTCATGTGCAATCAAATAATGAATACCATTACTTATATTTTTAATTACTGTAGTGTGTGCTTTTTTTTTTTTATTTATTTGTTGATACATACTATCTTACTACTATTTCTGCAGTCAAGTTTTAAGAAACTGGCAACAAAAATCTACAATATTATCAAATCTCATATTCCAGCAAGTCTTTAAGCAGACGGAGATTGGTATTTACCTTTGAGCTCCAGATAATTTGTGTTGCCGGAGTAAATTCTCAGCATAATTCAGGGCCACCAGATGATCATTTAGACAAAGGGAAACATAAGCACTAGCAGCAAGAATGGAACATCTAAAATTAAAGTAAAATTACTTTAATACAAATGGTAATAAAGACATTTTTTTGTTTTTTTAAATACTAATCATTTTATAGAAAATAAATAATTTATATAGAAATAAGCAATTTCTTTCATTACACTGATCTCTCTCTTATGTATTTTTGAAAGGGTGCTAAAAAGTTCTCAGCTTGACACACTTCACAATCTGCATTCTGATGCTTGGTCATTAAAATACTGATTTGGGGAATTCGGCTGAGCTGAGAAATTTTCAACACCCCCTCACACTCACACAATATATATATATATATATATATATTAAAATTGATTCCATTTAACTTGAAAATCAAAGTTTTCCTTACCATAAGAAGAAAAATATCATGCACAAATGTAAAGAGTTTGATGCTTTACCATTATGATCCAAGATAAACAAGATAAAATATAACATTTAGTACCAACTCCCATGTCTACTTGGAGGAAAAGTAGTAATAAGACTGATGCCAAATATCTTGAGACATGTATCAGCATGTTGTCCAATTACAATATGGAACTGTGTAAAGCCATGAAATCCAGTTCTCACGGGATAAAGAGCAGATAAAATGTATTACAAGAAATAGTTAATAATTTCCAATATTTGTTACTCATGATGGCAGATAATTTAACACTGCATAGTCACATATAAGTAAAGAGAAAGACTAAAGTTATGACAGCATGTGAAGAATATTTAATAGTTGTCTTGTTAACCTTTCACAAGCCTTTGGATGGAATAGGTGGTTGTATTTTTGCTGATATTCACATAGAGAGGTTAACATAAAAAGCAGTCATTTTCATAAAATACATCTATTGGATGCTTTGGTACATATCATCAGTGGTGTTTCTAACCATGGTTCATTAGGGGTTTTGGATTTTTCAGCATCATATCCACACTCTGTGGTGACGCAGCCAATACTGATCGAGTATCGACTTGTGTACCATCCGTTAGCTACAATTTTCTCCAACTTCCCAATCACACACTGCAACTCTTGGCAATTTATAGTCCAATCACAGATAACTACCAGTTCACCATCAATGTACACTCTTCCATAAAAAAGTAAACAAATGCAACCACAATTTTCAATCACATAAGGAACATGGTGACATGCTTGACTTGAAGTGGCAAGTAATGATTTGTTCCCCACACTGAGATATATATACATGTACACACTCACAAATGCACACATGAATCACATTCTGCTTTCTCTTATCCCATTTCCATGATCACCTAAGCATGTATCAAACATGGTACAACCGATATAGGATTGCCTCCCCTTGTCTTCGCACTTTAAACTCCTCTACTAATCCTCTGAAGGGGAATAGCAATGTGTTCGATACTCCATACAGAACTGCACTGCTCAAACTCCTCAGTAAGCTAAGCCATCTTATCAAATATCCACTAACTTTTTTCTCCATCTTCTCAACTGTTGTCACTGCCACTTCACATAATGTCAGGGGCCACAGAATCTTTAGCAAAATGGCATATTGATATATCCATGACTTAAAACAGCCTGACTGTCCACTTTGCTCAACATTGCTTCAAGGTCTGAAAAATATTTCTGGGTAGCATCCATATATTTTAAATTAGCATCAGATATTTTACCCAGGCATTTCTGATTTTTCTTTTAATGACAGAGTAATGGTTCCTGTAATCTTGAAATGGAACTTTTCTATCACAATCCCTCTCTTCAGTAGAAATGACCATGATTTTGTTGATTTAAACTTTGCTCTTGCCCAAGTCATTATCTTTTCTAAACCCTATAATATCCACAGATATCCAGGGACAGTTGATGTAGTAACTGTCATATCATCCACATATATACATGGATTGGAGTTTGTCATACTCTGCTTTTCATCAATGACCTTGACACTCAACATAGTATAACTAGATTGCCTTTCCCTTCTTTTGCCCCAATATGCCAATATGCTTCAGAATACCTGGGATGTTGGCAATCCCTCCCTTCTGTACTGACGTATCTATGTAATTGTTGACACCAAGATACTGCCAAAGCCGTCAGGGCAAGATGCTGAAGAAGATTTTGTTCTCAGTGTCCAGCAAAGGAATCATTCTAAACTGTTTAATTCCTTTTGAATTTTCTTTAGAAATCCATACTGCATTAGCAAACCTCCAATGTCTTGCAACTTTACCTCTTCTCCAAAACAGCTTTTAATATCTTCCAGAGATATACCTGAATATTCAAACATCTCATAGAGAACACCACTGGGTCCTGGGGCTGAAGCTGATCTAGCTGCCAATATGACCTCCTTTAATTCTTTCAAGGTTGGTGCCCTCAAGTCAAAACTTGTTTCTGGTGGTTCAGGGTGCAATATTGTATGATATTATGTGAACATTAAAGAGTAAAACTAACCTTAAATTACTAACTTCTGCTGCTCTCATTGGATTGCTTGGTGGAGCTGGTACAAGGAAAATTTCTGATTTACTGAAAAACAAACAATAATAATAAAGATGATGCAGGAAATTTGTAATCAATTTCTTTTTTCAATTCTATAAAATCCTTAGTTTTCAGTTGTTATTGTTAACATAATCATTCAAATAAAACAAAACTCATTTCAGTTGAAAGAACAAAAGATACCATGACTGGTCACAAGTGAAACCAAAAAGCAGTTACTTGATTTTGGACACATTCCTATATAAACGTATATGCACATGTATTTTCAAACCTATGTTTAAAAACTTAGCAACATTAAGACTAATTTTGAGCATGATCTATACACTAAGAAATGTAATAAAAACATTATAGGAAAATGAAAATTATTCCAGATAAAAAATATGCACAATATATGAACCATAAACCTTTAATGTGAGAGTGTGTATGTGCATATATTACATACACATTATAGACATGTCGCTTCTGTCAGAGGCTGAATTTTGCATTCAGGTTGATCATTTCAATTCTATTTCTCTTTTTTGTTGAAAATCTTTTCAAAAATTGTTCAGGCAAAAAAAATATTCTTGTTTTCAGTATAGGTGAGAAAATCAGTTTACATTGTTAAGCCAATAGTATTATGCAAGGATTCAATTACAAAATAATGATGAAAGATGAGAACTTTTGCAAAGCCCTCCTTTTTTTTAGCAATACTAACAAAAATATTTGAGAGAGTTAACAGTCTTACCAAGAATCATTTTGTTCTTCACTGATATCAGATTGCAGTGGGTCTTCTGGCAATAGAAGTAGCGCATTACGCAGACACAAAGAAGCAAACTCAATTGATGGAGCTGGTATGGCTGGATTATTACTAAAAAATAAAAACAAGATCAATGTATGTGTGTGTAGACATATACATACATTCATATAGTGAAACAAAATTCTTTTTCCACATATATTTCCAGAGTTGTATAAAATCTACTCTGGATTGCCACATATTTAGTAAATAGCCAGGTGTATTTTGCAATAGTAATGCTAATTTCCATAGTTATGTGACTTTTCCAATTAGACATGCATTTTTTTGCTACCAATAAAATGCTTTGTAATATTTTTCAATTATTATTAGATTTAAATTAGATACATAATGGACTGCAGAATAAAAGATTCCAGGATTGTTCACAGGGAGGGCAGTATCGTCTCTGTGGCCTCCAATTTCTTTGATGTTGCTGGTCAAAAGGACAGGTACTTTAGGCTGATCAAGAAGATGCTATTTAATGATATAATGGCATGTGTGTATTGGCAGGAGGATGGGACCACCGCTATTACAAAAGTTGACAAATTTCTACTGGAAATATCAATGCCCGAGAAGGATGTTTCAAATGAGTCACCCTGTTGCAGCAAGAAAAATTCAACTTTCGTATCAAGCCAGCACGCCTTCTGCCAGATCTGTCTGATGATGAGGACGCTGTTTGTGATTCAGATGTGCATTTTGAAAAACAAGCAGAGTTCAACTCCTGGTAAGATTTTCTATTTAGAATATTTGTTTACTTCTGAATTAACAAAGTAGATTTTGAAAGTGGGAGTGGAGTCACAGTCATATAACTTGCCTGCATTGGGTATCTGGCAATGAAGAATTTCTCAGATTCATCGTTGCTACATTACAAGTTCAAGATGGCTGCTGCAGCTGCTCTTGCAAGTCGTGTTGAAACCAGAAGCTAGCTGAACATTGCAGCAGACCTGATCCAAGAGTATACCTTGGTAAAGATAAGCACCTTAAAGGTGTTACATGTGTCGTCATGGTTCATTTGGACGAAAAGACTCAAAGATCTCCACGACATTCAAATGTGGTACATGTGAGGTTCCACTCTGCCAACCTAGCAAGGGGAACGACTACAATGAACATCTGAAAGAGCTTTCCCAAAAGACCAGGGTTGGTGAAGACTAGAGGTCAACTGACTAAAAACTGACTCTAGAGTCATTTACTGACTTTGTTGATACTTGTAGATTAGATCCATGTATATTTTGCATTTATTATGTGGAGAGTGAAGATATGGCAATATGTATCTTTGTGGTCCAGCTGTCTAAAATATTAGCAAGAATGTAATCAAAGCAAATCTGAGCAAATCACAGTTGAAAAAGTGCTTTCGACCCTCTTGTCAGCATAGAGAAAATGATTGAATTCGCAGCCATTTCCACAAAAAGCCTTAGCTTAATTTTTGCTAAGAACTCATTATCAGCATTGCTTTGAAACCTGTATGCCCTCTGGATGCAATGTGGATCATAAATCAGCAATGAAATATGTTTAAAACTGAATTTGATTTTTTCACAAAAATGACTAAATATTCAGTCATTTTACCTGTTTTTAATGATCAGATAAAAAACATGAAAGTTGATTTACCTATAGCTACCAATCTGAGGGACGAATCTTCATTGCTCTTAACTTTGGTTCAAATAAGAATTTGAGTCTGTGTGGCCTATGTTTTCTATCTTCTGTGCTCTTAACTTTGTGAAAATTATGAATTTTAGGGTGTGAATTGTTTCAAAAAGCTAAAAATTAATCTGGTTGACTTTGCATAAAACATGCCAAGTTAGTTAATAACCAGTTTTATAATCAGAAATTGATGTCAGAACCTCTTGGTCTTGGTACAAAGGCCACAAATAGTTGTTTTAATTTTTTTTAAATCCTGCATTTTTTAATTTGATTTCTATAAACAATGCAATATGATTTTGAAAGTGTGAGAGGACAATCAAAAAATGCTTGTTCTCATAAATGTCTGGACCTTGTCAAACATGATAGACATAAAAACTAACCTGTGAACTTATTTCTTACAAAGAAAGCAGATGAGAGTTTTAAACCATAGCATTTTGACAGAATATTCAGTCACTTTCCCCACTTCTTATTAAATATTATAATTTTTTGTCTGTAACTTTACATTCATAAAGTAGATGGAAATAGTATTATTTCAATGACACTTTCTTGTGATGTAACATTTTTATTAACTATTGAATTTTGATGAATATGTTTGTCGAGCTTTAAGCACAAAAATTTTCAATCCTCAAAATGAAAAAAAAAAAAAATAATAATAAACCTAATAAGTTCAATAATTTACAAAGAAATACTTTCATTTACTTTAGATCTCAAGTGAAAGACTAGGTAAATGAGAAAGTAAGAAATTTAAAGAAATAATAAATGTTAATTCTGTATCATTAAGCTATAAAAATTAATTCTTAACAAAAATAATTTCACCTTTCAATACAAACCTTAACTTTTCATGTTTTGTAGTCGAGCCTAAAATGAGTTTCCGATGGACACCACTTGCTACTGATCCTTGGAAAACTTGAAGACGTCTTGATAACTTCTTATCTACTTCATTATCCTGCAAGGATGAGAAGAAAAAAAAATTACCAAAACATTTGCATATATTTGTAACAAAAAATATTTTATTAAATTACGTTTTTATTTTAATTATTATTATTATTATTTACTTCTTGAGTGATGTAAATTAAATTTGTGTATAATTTAGGACTGGAATTTTCCTCTTGCTGCTGTTAAAGTATTGGGTTCCTACTTGAAATCATAAACAAATCTTCTATTGTTAGTCTACCACAAAAGTTATTAGCAAATAAAAATGATCATTTCTTAAATTTTAAAGGATAAATTTCTATCAAGAATAAAATTGAGAAAAAAAAATGTAATCATACTTCACGGTAATTTGTGATACAGCATTCAGCAAGTCGTAACCAAAGTCGAGGATTGGTTTGATAAACCTGGACTGCTTGGATTAAACAGTCAAATGCAGCCTGAATTTTACCACAATGAAGCAACTGGACACCCATATTGTACAATAGTTCATAATGCCGACTTATAGCAACAGTTTGTAATGATGGACCAAATTTACCTGCGAAGAAATTCAAAGGTTCATGATTTTTGATAGAGAGCAAAAATAAAAAATACAGAATTACTTTTATATTTTATCGCATGACACAGAATTGTCAACAGAATCAGACACAAATTGAAGACTTTTTTTTAATATTTTTCACATTATATTTTTTTTTAATGTTTAATGAGCATTACCTTCTTCACTTTCTTTCTTGACAGATTTGAAAGCATTTTCATTCTCTTCTACTGCCCTCTTGAAGTAAAATGCCCCCAAGTGATGCTTGCGAGTGTGGAAATGGTTACAGCCCAAATTGTTATAATACATTACTGGCAAACAGTCCCCAGACTCTGTGATAACAATGTTTTGTGGTACAGTGGCCAGCATCTTTAGTACTTTACGGTAGCTGCCTCGCAGATACTCAAAGTTGCTTTTCAGATACACAACTGAAGGATTCTATTAAGAAAGAGAAAAAAAAAATTAAAATTATGGAAAAAATAAATTAATTTTTTAAAAACACATTAATACATGTAGAAAATAGAATTTACTAAGAAAATAATATTATTAGACAATATTCACATTTAGAAAAAATATTGGTATTAAGGTTATGGATTTTTAAAAGAAATGAAAAGAGAATGAAATCTTTTTTATGTATCAAATTTGAGAAAAGTAAATCTCACTCAGTTCATATCAGAAAAGGCCATCAACTTTAACAATCTAGGTTGAAAATTCAGTCTTAGACATATTACATAAAATTTAATAAATTTAAATTGGAAATGGTCAAATTGGATTTAGTTAAGATCACTATGGTAAATACACAATGCATTACACTTGACAGATGAGATTAAATTTTTCATGAGTTTTCATCCTCACCAACAACAAATTCTGAAAATCTCCAATGTTTTTTTTTGTTTTTTTAAATAATTGTCATTTATTTTTGAGAAATGGACAAATCAGTTAATGGAATGAGGTATAAAGTTGTTTTTTGCTTTTTCTGAGGACAGAAGATTTTGTTTTTCATGTAAATTTATTATTTTGTTGTAAATGTATATATATTATTTTAAAATAATTATGAGATAAATGATTTTAATTACAGTATTAATTAAATATATCTTTATAGATTATTGTGTGTGTATGTAGAAAATCAATATTTGCAAAGTGTATATATTTTTTAATGTAATATTTTAAGAAACAATACTGAACACTTATTAACTTACTTGTGCTTGTGTACTCATCAACACTTTAATTTCCCTTTTACAAGCTTTCAATGATTTCATCATGAGTAAACAACGGGTTTTATACTGAAACAAAATTTAGCATTTGAATTTTTATTCTAAAATGAAAGTTCATTCAATGTGAAACAAAATTCTATCAACTTATTTGGTTAGTGGACAAAACTTTTAAGATGTTTTATTAATGTTTTTTTTTATGTCTGATTACATAGAAGCAGGTTTTTGAAATTACCTTCATGGTTAACTTTTAAGATATTCTGATACCTATAAATATTTTGAAAAGTTATACAATAAATTGAAAAGACAAAAGTAAATGTCCTGTTGAAAAAAGAGAATCAAACAAACATTTAAAAATAGAAGAAAATAATCCTGTTAAAGTGAAATAGAAGTAGATTTACACAAGAAAAACAAGTCTTGATATGATTATTTCATCAATTTTTGAAGTATGTAAATAAAAGCTATTGGAAAAGCTAAGAGATTGTACTAAATATAATGAATTCTCATAACTGAATAAGATTTAACAACTTTCTTTTTAAAGGAAACCTTAATTTAGAGAAACATTTGAAGATAAATTTACTTACATATAAAAAAAATTTAAAATAAAAACCAGACAAAACATTTTTTTTCTTTACTCATTCTATATTCAATGGTATTTGGAGACTATCCTCATCTTTGTCATTTTTTATTCTATAAAGTTTTCAAGAGTTTATTTTTCAGACTTCAGACTAATGTTTCTAGTATAGTTTTCTTATTGGTTTTATTCCGGTTATAATCTATGCAAGGCTCACAAAAGGAAAAAAACAAAGTTCAAATCTTATTGAACATTTACAACTATTTATTTAATAAAAGTATGAGACAAAAATAAAGCTAAAAGATTGGTGAACTTTCATTTTATTTGAGTTATAAAAACTTTAGAAAGCCAACTTGAAAGTATATAATTAATTAAAAATTTGTGAAATTACAAAAAGAATACAAATTGAAATTACTTGAATGGTGAAATATCAAGTTTAATGGCTAGCAAAACTTACCAAACTAATTTTTGAACTTGCGCCATCTGAGGATAGAGAAGTTTCTTGGTTTTCAGATTTTTCTGCTCGTTCAGAATTATTTGGGCTGGAACCAGATTTGATATTTGTGAATAACATTTTTTCTATGTACGACAATCTTCCCATTGCTTTTTCTGGCTATTAAAATGGAAATAAATTAGAAATATGTAATTAGTATCAATTCTTAAATTCTCATTCATATGACTAACATTAAGAAGAAAAAAATGTAGTTTTGGTTAATTTGCAGTATAAGCACCAAAAGCCTCCAGTATTTGGATTGTACCATTCTGGTGTGAAATTGCCTCATTATTTCGAAAATGACATTAAAACATTGTGCTCGAGTACCGTTTTTGATTTATCATCAATATAAGTTCAATCTCTTTCACGTTGTCTGGCCGCCATCACTGGGGTCATTTACAGACATTTTCCTCTATGTACAGAAGTTTACTTAGTTAACAGCCTTCTTTACAGCTTTTCGTATCTTACGGGTCTTGATTACTGTGCAATTTTTGTGGATGTTATTTTAAAATGTGCTTATTTTTTTTAAAATGAAGTTTTAAATGAATAGTATTTTTTCTTTATTGTCCTTAATAAATCTGCTTATAGCTAATGAAATAGAATCTCACCCTAAAATGTAATTTATGAAGCTTTAAATTCAAGAAACTTTCACAACACACACAAAAAAAAAAAAAAAAGTTAGATTTTACATTTTTTTGCACATTATTTCATGCATTTATTTCAAACTTCACACATTGCACAGTAATCAAGACAAGTGAAGCTTCTGCATCCCATGACTCCTTGAGGCAAACGTATGTAAACAAAACCAATAATGGTGGACATTCTGTGTATGTGACGAGAAAGAAGTAGAACTTGCATTGTCCATAACTTCCAAACTGATTGAGCACAATGTTTTAATGTCATTTTTGAAATAACCGGGCAATTTCACACCAGTATGGAACATTCTCAATACTGGGGGTTTTTGGTGCTTATACTGCAAATTAACCAATATTTTCACTGATAAACAAATTCTTCAAGAACTTAAACTGTTAAACCCTTAGTTAACAGAATAGCACAAATATTAAACATCTTGAATATTATACATGTAGATATACAGAGAGTTTGTTTGTTTGTTTGTTTGTTTAAAACTTAACGACCCATCGATCAGCAAGAGATCATTTAAGGTCAAACAGTTGTTTTTTTTTTTTCTTTAAATAAGGTTGAAATGCTTTCCAAATAACTTTCACTTTCCTTTCATTCTTTTTTGATGTTGTCTTGCTTTTTGTTTTTTAAAATTCACTGTTTTCAGAGGTGTGTTCTTTGAAAATTTCTCACTTTTTTCCGACAAGTATCAAAAGGTTCCTCTTTTCATCATCAGACACCAAATTGGAATTATATTTTATTATATAGTCCAACTTTCCTAAGAAATGTCAAGATCAAATTCGGGTTTGATTTTTCGAAAAGTTCTTTCAAATTGTTCGCGTTGTAAAATAGTTTTCGAATATGTGCCATGTCACCGCAATCAAGCAGGAAGTGCTTCACGGTAATAAACCTCCTGGCATGCTATGCATTCAGGAGGGTCTTCATCTTTTAGTAGAAAGGAATGAGTTATGCGAGTGTGACCTATCTTGAATACTGGGATAAAACCACTTCTTCTTTGCGTGATTTTCTGTGTTCAGTTAGTTGTTTCTTTAGAGAGGTTTGATTTGAAATAATTTGTTGTTTTGACAGCTGTTCCAAGCATCTTGCCATTTCTTCAAAATAAAGTCATTTATTAGGGGTTTTATAGTCAGTGTATGGAACTTTTATGTTACTTGTGTTAAGTTTCAGAGAGTTTTTGCAGCCACATCAGCTTTTTTTCATTTCCATGAAAACCAGAGTGGCTGGGAATCCAACAGAAAATGATAGTTTTATTTTGTAAGATTGCATGTATTCTATATAGGAGTTTGATGAGCAAAGGATTGTTTAATTTTTGGTTTTTTAATGATTCAAGTACTGATAATGAGTCTGCAAAAATAATAAATTTATTTAAATTATGTTTAATGATGAGGTCTAGAGCTAAATCAATGGCTGTAATTTCAGCACTAAAAATTGAGGAGTTGTTAGGTAATCTTTTCTGTAGAACAGTACTTTTAAAGATAGCTGCACATCCTACTTTGTTTTTGACTTTGGAGCCATCAGTATATATGTGAGCCCAATTTGGGTATTGTTCCAGAATATCATCTAGTTTTTCTATATAGTATAAGGGGTGTGTGTCAGATTTAGAGTGGGCAGCCAGTCTTAAAATGACTTTTGGTTGTTCCAATAGCCAAGGTGGATGTTTGGATAGCTTGAATTCATGTATACTGTTTTTGTCTATCACACTATCTGTGAGTGGTTTTATCATTTTTTCCAAGATATACAGAGAGAGCAAAGAAAATCAACCAGCTGAATTATTTAATCACATGATGAACAATTATATCGAAAATTTACCACAAAAAAGGATTATATTCATTGAAATACTGTAATATTGATCAATTTCAATCATAATTTGGCACAAACATCCATCTAACATTTACAAGGGTAGATCATATATCTGTGGCCTGACAAATAATTAATTACAGGAGAGTCCCTCCCCCTAAGGAAAATAATATTCTCACCATTTATATTTTGCTGTATAGGTAGAGTATGTACCCAAAAGAGATTTCCTAAAGTTTTAGTTCAATCTGATCAATGGTTCAAAAGTTATGGTCATTTCAGTCCTGTGGCCAAGCCATTTTTGGCTGTTTTCCTCTTTTTATTGAGTATAACTCAATATCTTATATATATATATATATATATATATATATATATATATATATATATATATGTGTGTGTGTGTGATAAACATATAGTTTAAAAGTTTTCTATATTTATGTATGAAAGTACCCAATATAAGCATATCTAAATATATAGAATAGACACTGAGGTCAACACTAAGTGGTGATATTCTTTTCATGCTTCAATGCAATCTTCAAGCCATGAAGATTGTATTGAAGCATGAAACAGACTGTCACCACTTGGTGTTGACCTCAGTCTGAACTGGACTTTGTAAAAATGCTTCTTTTTTTTTTTTTTTTTTTTTTTTTGGCAGAATGAAAATAAAAATTTTATTGAAAAATGAAAACTTGGAGTCAAGAACTGAATATTTTTTGTGTAAAATAAAGTCATTTTTCATTATTAAGCTAGAACTTGAACCCGGTGGGTGCACAAAATGTCAAAACATCACTTTAATTGTGCAACTATTTAGCTAAAGATTAAAAAAAAAAAAAAGACTTGATTGATTGTAACATGATTCTAATAAAAATTAATGTTGGAAAATTATCAGGGAAAAAAAAAAACTGTTGCAGAAATATGAAAATAATCAATGAAACCACGGGTTACATATACACATTTATAAAATCATTAATGGAAAACTGCAACAATATAAAACTACAAATCATATTAGAACATATTATATCAGAATAAACCAAATCTACAAAAGATCATTCAAGATATTAAAATTTCTCATACTTATCTATGAACTGATACATCAAAAAAATGTTATTCACATACAAAAAAAGTAAAGATATATGAGATATAGATATATCAATGGTATCTTTAAATCATCATTGCCACAAAGGAAAACAAGTAATGAACTGAGTCAGAATGAGAGATTCCACCAGTGATGCTTAGACTTTGACAGCTGCTATAATCAAATCTTAAATATTGATTTCATACATAAAGCATTGAAGAGAACAAGTTCATCTTGGAAAGCACAAATGCTTTTATTTATGTTAAAGACCGAAATTTTAAGAACACCCTACGTAAGCACTTCCTTTGTTAACCCACAGGCAACAATACAAAGTTTTACAAAGCAAGAATGGCTTTTCACACCAATAAAGATGGGTCAGATTTTTAAAAAAGAAGAATAAAAAAAAGCACATTAATAGTGTACCATAAAGCAGGACAAAGTCCACTCTAAAATACTAAAATAACACTGCATTGCTAACTTTCATTAATTGGGAAAAAATATAAAAATAAAAACTACATAAAGAAAACTAGAAAAAATATTGCTATCCTAATAGTTTCTATTTGTTTATAATAAAATTGGATGACTACATAATGCAAATAAAGACCGGGGAAAAAATTTAAAAATTATATGTGCATGAAAAAAATAATCCTCATGTGAAAAAAGATTTTTTTCTCAAAGTTAACTTACTTGATGCGTTCGCAAATATAATTCAACCAATAAAAATGCAATTTTCTTGGCCATATTCTCTTCTGAAAAACAAAAGTTTTTTTAAATTCACATTTGGCATTTTAAATTAACTTTTTAAAAAAAAAATTGTTTTAGTTCATATAAATGAAATGGTCTCTTAGCACTAAAAACAAAAAATGTGAAAGGTTAATAAAATACAAATGTAAAACTTGATTATCCTCTAACCAGAACACTGAAGGATTATATGTATTTTCATTGAACAGACAAGAACAAAAGATCAAAAACTAGACAATACAATAAATAAAAAAATAACATGTCTCAAAATATCAACCAGAAAACTGTTAAAGTTGTTAAATTATTAATTTTGAGTAGCATTTACTTTCATCTTAATTTTTGATTGCAACTTCAAACATATCAATTTAAATCAGTGGAGAAAATAAAGCAACATAGCATTGGAATTTTTCTGATCCTATGCTGTTTATTTACTGCCTGATTGACAGCTTGAGTAAAGTTACAATAAGATCAACTAAAATGTTAAGATGAAAAAAAAAATACTACTCAAAACTAGTAACGTTTGACAATGCGCTGAAACATACAGCCATTAACAGAAAAGTGTTGGGAAGCTGTCAGTAACTAACACTGAAACAATCAAACACTAAAAGCAAAAACAAAAAAAAAACATTTAAATGTCAATCTACCTACCTAATGGTTCAATGCATGGAATTAATTTTTCCATGATAGATAAAGCTGCTTTATATTGTTGGTAATGATACAAGATGACTGCCTGGTTATAGAGTACAACACAATGGTCAACATCATCTACAGTTATCAAATTGTCAATATTGAGATGGTCCTGTTGAAAAAAAATAAAGAAACTGCTTTTCAAATTAACCAAACTATGATATATTGCTGCTTACATTATTTTTTTTTCTTCAAGAATCAAGTTATATATTGTGTAACAAGAATTATTAGGTTGACACAGCAATAAATGTGGTTTTTGATACTTTAAAACTTTGATGCTTCTTTTAGAATAAACTATTATTTAACAATGTTCATGTAATAAATAATTTTAAAGCACAAATTTCATTTGATTTATGCTAATAATAGTTTTGCTTTCACTTTTTATTGTGAGCTGCCAAAGATATAAGAAAAAAAATTTGAGTGATTCCATTTTTGAGTAAAAAATGGGACATAAAGCAATGAGAACTGCTTGAAATATCAATCAAGCACTTGCTTAGGGGATGTCAATGAATATACCACACAACATTTGTTCCAATAATGTTATAATGGAGATGAGAAATTTGAAGATGAGGAGAGTTACACATTTCCATGCAATTGATGACAGCCAATTGAGAACTATCATTGAAATGGGTCTATGCATAATAACTGAAGAGGCTGATGAAGAATACAGACTATTCAACAATTTACACTAAATTGGAAAACAAAATCTTTGACAAATGAGTGTCATGCATATTGAATAAAAAAATTCATTCACTCTTGCAAAATATGTTCTGCACTTCTTTTGATGAACAAAAATGATCCATTTCTTTATAACAATGTGACATATATTGAAAAATAGATTCTATAGGACAACCAACAGCATTCTACTTGAAAGCTGGACCAAAGTGAAGTACTAAAACACTTCTTCAAACCAAAGCTGTATCAAAAGAAAGTCATGGTCACTGTTTGATGGTCGGCAAATAGAATCATCCGTTACAAGTTCTTGAATCCTAGTGAAACCATCACAACAAACAAACAAAATGCACCAAGCACTGCAACATTTAGGTCTAACATTAGTCATTTCAAAAGACCAATTTTTCTCAATGGCAATCCCTAGCTGCAACGATTTTAATGCTTCTGTGATTCCTTTCTACTATACCATTCCAGCCTGGCACATAAGGACATCAGAACCAAAGCTATATACCCCAGTCACTGAGGAATTTTCTGAAGTGCCCACAAATGAAAGCCATATCGTTGTGATGGTGGTTGGTGATGGACTTGCTTGAAAAAGATTGATGTTAACTGGTTAGTGACACTAGTAGAAACTTGTTGATGAAACAGTTACCATATTGCAAATAAAATGGACCACAACCAATAAGTGTTAGGAAATGTCTACTACTGTAGTGTGTGATATCCATTGCTAACCTGCTCCAGTTGTTTTTCACTCTCAGCATTCCTTTCTGGCAAAGGCACCGGGTCAATAGATTAGCAAGCTTCACAATTCTCAATAACTTTGCTACTGTTGCTTTCCTCCACGTCACTAGCATGGTTATCGACCACTTCAGTTGCCGGTATACAGCAAGAGTCATGCCTCTCAATAATAGATAGAAAGACACACTCAATCCTCTTCATGTTTCACAGTTCACATACCAACTTGACATTCTCAATCCACTCCATAATTGGTAATTTGGTGGTAATGCCACTAAATTCAGGTATCAAACATATCAAATGCCTTATATACCATCCTCATAGAAAAATTAAAACCTGCCAAAATAGCTTGTTGAAAAAAAACAAAAAAACTTCACTATCACAAATCTTCACTGTACTTCATCACTCTGGACAACATACCAACAGCACAACTGTCACCAAGTCAAATTCTACTCCACTCTCGTTTTTTGGAAATTTTTATTGTTTCAAGCTGCCACTGATTGACCAAAAAACCAGCCAATCTGTGCATTACATCAAACTACTACTGACTGGCCAAAGAATCAGCTAATCGGTGCATGGGACCTGCTTCAAAAACAAGGCAATTTAACCTTTTTCTTTTCGTATGGAGTGCCACCCGCCATCTGGAACCCCACGGCAAGTGATCCTTATACCTGACTGTTGCAAAAAATGCATGCAGAAAATAATAAAGATACTTACAAAATGACAAACTGTAGACAGACAGAGTTTGAATTCTTCAATTTTTGTAAATTTTGACTGATAAAACTCAGCCACTCCCTTGTTATGGATAACCTTGGGGTCCATTGTACGATTCTGTGTTAATTTGTTCATTGTGCTGATACAGTTGTCATACTGCTGTTTTTCAAACTCTTGTTTTGCCTGACGAGCAAATTCAATTTGGACATCATTTACAGGTGTGTGTATAGACATACTACTTAGTTCTTCACTTTCAGCCATGCTACAATAAAGAAAATGATAACTTATATTATTCTTATCTTACAGAATCAACATTATAATTGAGCTATCAATGTGTATAGTCAAAAATAAAAGTTTCTAGATTTGTGCTACTGTATAACAATACCTCTTTTGATGAGATGTACTAGGCTATCTAGTTTTAAATATTTATATTTCAAAAATTAAAGGCAAACTCTGGAGTAACTACATTGCCCATATTTATTACAAACCTTTTGAATCTGTCTATATTTCTGAGATGAGGTATTATGTACACTATTTACATTGTTTGGACTATCGTCCTCATCTTTGTTGCTATATTTATCACAGCGTTTCGGCCGTTGTACACTACGGCCTTCTTCAGGTAGTTGGAATGCCAAACTGAACCCTTTATTTCGCTTGCTAGGGTAGACTGTTCTAGTTCCACATGCCATGGCTAATGGATGTCAGTTATCAAGTTATCTCCAGTTAATTTCCCTCTCCAAGTTCTTCACTGCTTTAACATGGTATTGAACTCACACTTTTTGGATCCTGTCAATGGATCTAACTAATGCCTTTATACACTGTGCCATGTGTTCTTGAGGAAATCTGTGGATGGATTTCTGGGACTTATAAACCTAGTATCTTCAGCAACCATTTTTACCAGAGTTCACATTGCAATTATTATTACTATTATTAAAAATTTGATTATATAAGTAATATAGAAGTTTAATATAAAAAGTCAAAATGTGAATGTGATAAGAGCAACTAAATTGAAGATTAATTTACTTTAACCCAATACACTTTAAAAAGTCAAATAATAATGAGCTATATTGTTTTGCCTGCATGTCCAGTGTACAAATTGATGGAAGAATATACTGAATATAAACCAACATTTTAATATCAGAGAGTTCAATATGTAATTTCAAACATTTGTAGAGATATTCTTCAGTTTCTTCATTAATGTTTTAGATAACATTACAATAAAAATATTTATGATTTTATGCAGTTACACCTGATAAAGATTTATTGTTATTTATTTATTAAGAATTGCTTAATTTCGGTATAAGGCCTCAAGAATGGTCACCCAGTAATGAACAAATTCATTATTTATAATTCTAGCTTGCTGAACCATAAAGTAATCATGAAGGCTTTTTTCTTGTTTGCACTGAGCAAAATTCCCTAAAAATTTATAGTCAGTCTCAAAAGGCTGAGTAGCTTTTATCATATGACTATCTTTTGGTTGATGAAAGTTTAACTTGCATTCCATATATACTCTAGAGTATATAATTGCCGCACATCCCCCATTCAATAGGGCATATTCTTTACTTTTATAAAATGATGCATTTAACTCTGGAGTGACACAAAACTTGATCCCCTAGAGTTTGTCAATCATAACATACCACTCCACAATAAGACCTAGTGAATGTCAGGAGAAATATTCTCTCAGCCTGGTCTGTACCGTATGTCAAAATTATAAACAGACAAATTCATTCTCCAGCATATTTTGTTGTTCTTTATCTTAATTTTGTGTCTTTTTTCAAACATGTACCTCATGGATTGTGGGTTTGTTTTCACTGTAAAATGTCTTCCAGTCAAGTAATGCCTTCAGTGATAAACAGCCTCATTGATTACTTCTCAGGTCCCTGAAAAGTTCTTGAGAAAACTAATGGACATCCAGCCTAAGAGAGAATTACTGCTATAACAACTTCAGATGCATCAGTTTCCACTTCAAATGGTAGGGACTCATCAATTGCCTGAACTACTGAATTTTAAGGGCATAGAAAGCTGGTTCTTTTGTTTCAGGGAATATAGTAGTAGAACTCAAAGAGCAGATCTTACTTGAATAATTGTATATCCACTGGAAATATTAAGCAGAGCCCTACAGTTCATGGGGGGGGGGGGTGAGTGTTTTTGCACATCACCACAATGCTACTATTTTTATTTTAAATACCTTTTATCTATGTACTACCACAGAAAATGCAATACCTAAGTTTTAATTTCAAGCTAATAGATTAAATTTAATATTTCCAACAAGCAAAATATTTTGCTGTACTTCAAAACAAATTTAAATTGACTGGAAGGAACCTTTTTTGCCCCCCCCTAAAAATAGCGTCTTTTTTTAGCCTGTGTTTATCACAATGTAATTCTCTTTATTAAAATAATCTCCCCAAAATAAAGTATACTTCTCTGAAATTTGAATTGAGAAATATTAGCGGATTTAAAGTATAATTAATCTGATTTGAAATAAATATTATTGAAATAGTTTAAAATATCACAGAAATGCATTTTTTTAACATTACAGTATCTGTCTATTTAGGCTGTTGACATGTTTTACAGCATGACAGATGTTTATCTAATGTTGTTCTATGGCGGCTTTAATCGTAAAAATTAACTGAATATATTGTGAGTGTCTTTTATATATAACTTTTATGTATTCCGTAATCTTAAAAATTTAAGAAAATATTCAAATCTAAATGTATTGAATTTAGATACTTTCTGGCTTTACTATAGTTATCGCCCTTATTTTCTGATAATGCCAGGTTTGGGCCACCGTATTTACAAAATTCGAAATATTTACTTTATAACACAAAAAAAAAATATTGGTGTTTGATGATTTGTACTAAGCTTTTCCATTATGAATAATAGATATATTTTGTAATAATCTCAAAGGTTGAAATTAATGCAGATTTCTAAAAGATTTAAAACTTAAATTATTCTAGTTATTTAAAGTTTTTAAAGAATGAAAACAATTCTTATAAACATTCATTATTCAATTCATCAAAAAAAAATTTTAAGTGTACTTCTTATTTAAAAGCAATTTAAAGCTTTTCTAATAATAATGTCATAGTTTTGTTGCATTTTTTATTTTACGAACAGATTTTCGGTAAATATTGTTTCTGTTTAGTTTGATAAAAAGAAACTGATCAGCTGATAATTTATTTATTTTAAACTAAAGGAGTCCTGCAGTTTTAAGTATGAAGCGGGTGGAATTTTAATTTATCGAAATTTCATAACTGTAAGTGGGGATAGTGTGTGTGTGTATATTTCCTAAAAAATATATTTAAAAAATAATTTAATTTGTGAATAAGTCCTGAAATTTCATTAAAATCCGTCAATTATTTGATTTTGGCAAGAATTACCAAATCAATGTGTTTTTGTTTTACCAAAAAGGCGCAGAAATTTTCTCATACTAATGATTAATAAACCTTTGGCCCACCCGCTGACGCAAGAAAAACAAGATTTTTAAACCAAATTTTCAAACGTGCTAGAGAAATGATAAAAAATTAATAAAATAATTTTCAAAATACCTACTCTGGTCTTTCCTTAGACGATAAAATTTTGTTTTTATCAAGTTTGGGGTCTTTTTCATCATAGTATTCTCTTTTTTAGTGAATTTTTGGAGATACCTACTTTTTATCAGAAACACACAAGAAGAATGGATCATTGTTTTAAAAAAAAATCATGTGTAGTATCAAGAGGAATGTAGTGGTAAGATATGTGCTGGCATCGTTCTGAAAGTGAAAGTTGCTAGAATTTAAATTCAAAAAAAAATATTCTAATAAAAATTAGTATAGAAACATTTCATGATAAAATAATTAACTATTAAGAAAAAGAAAACATACGACAGAAAAATTAAACTTGTGCCACCTTTGCTCTTTCTTTATGCGCATTTAATTTAAAAATTGTTTGAATTATTTCTTTTTTAAACTGATTTCATGTAAAATTGAAAATAAAGCTAACAAGTAGTCATGGCAAACTAATTAATTTATTTTAATTTTTCGATAGCATGTTACACATTTAGCAAAAACTTATATTCAATTTAAATTTTTTTTTTTTTTTTTTCATTCTTTTTTAAATTCTTTCATTTTAAAAAATATCAACGCATTCCTCTTGGGACAGCATCAAGTTGCAAGTATCAAATCAAATATTGATTTCCAAAATAGCATTTTTTTAAAATTTTGTTTTAAAAAATTTTAATAGTTTATATAACTTTGTTTCTGATACAAATAAATTTTATAAAAAAAAACTACAAGCAAAAATTGCAAAGTTAAAGAGAATTGTGTTCGTTTTGTTTGTTTAATTCACGAATAAATAAAAAAAAAGACCAAGGCTTTATTAGCAATATAACCAGGATGCGTCTTGCAATAAAAACAAATGGATATTATTAATTATTTTAAACTAAAACAATTGTTTATTTCTGTAGAAAAAGAAAGTAAAAACTTGCTCTGAAGTCGAAGTTCGCTTGACGTGTATTTAAGAATAAATAAAAATTGTCTGGTAGAAAAACGATTAAGTAAGAATTTCGGATTATGACTTTTTCAAAACCAAAGTTATTTTCTTTTAAAGGCGGCCTAAAAAGAGGCGCGTGTTTATAAAGGGAGGTAACTTTTTACACATCACCGGTTTCGTAATGGTAGGGGGTAGTATGGGGATTTTAAAATATTTTTCAGTTCAAGAGCAATATTTATTACAAAATTGAAATGCTTTTAGGAGAATCATCGGAAACTTTAATATTTTTTTGTATTTCAGTTAAGGTTATTACCAAATTTTGATATAAATGAAAGGGCAGCATTTTCAAAAAATTCATACAAAAAAGGAAAAAAAAGAAGCTACGTACGCGAAATAAAGGCTAAGAAAAAGTGACACAAATTAATGTGATATTCAAATAAAGTGGTAAAACAACTACTGAATATAACTGTTTCAATTAAAAATAACTCGGAATGATAAATAACAACAAAGGAAGAAAAAATTAAGTTTTTTTTTCAAATTTTCCTTATAAATTATTGAGTATCATGAAAAACGATTTCGTGTCAGTCATGTTTAGTTATGGCTATGGATATTCATTTAGATAAGAAGAATGACTAGAAATA